AAAAAAAAAAAAAAATGGAGCTAAGAGTCAAGTCAAGGACTCAATACCACTTACAACAGCTACAAAGAAAATAAAATACCTGGGAATATTTCTGGTATTCTTGGGCTAACAGATGTGACATAATGAAATGTTAAGTTATGGAGTTTCACTATCTTATGTTTTAACAATTCTGTTTCCAAACCTTAAAGTATTTTAGCAAAACTCACAATCCGTCCATCGCCACTGCCAATGTCTACCAGGGATCCTCTTCTACATCGCAGCATTTTCACGACATTTTCAATCTGCTTTGTAGTTGCGGGTACAAAAGGCAAACAGACTTTTCGGAGGGCTGGTGTTACAAACGGTGTGGCCACAGCATACACAGCCACCAGAGTCCCACCCACCATCCCGGTAATTAAGAACCCCCAATTGCTTTTCTTCAAACTGCTGTCTTCAAAACTTGCAGGTGAAACATGCCGTGGCTGACTTTCCTCTTGAAGTGTTCCTGGGTGTACACCTAGAGGGAGGGCAAGCAGAAGATTTTTATGTAGCACCAAATCTGAAGTCCAAGATAGCATTTTTTTTTCTCTAATTCTTATGGACAAATAAACTCGTGTTTTTTGTTGCAGTTTCTGGCCAGGGTTGGGTTTGAACCCACCACCTTCAGCATATGGGGTCAGTGCCCTACTCCTTTGAGCCATAGGTGCCACCCAACTCGTGCTTTTTAAAGATGCATAATTTTGCTGAGTACACTAAGCCACAAGCGTAGGATCCCACAATGAGGTCTAAATTCCATTATAAAATTAAAGTGTTTGGGGAAAAATTATTCAATACTATTAGAAGACTGAAATCTTTTCTTTCATTATGTTGAGACTGAAATCTCAACATAATGATTTTTTGTTTGTCTAGGAGTCATCCTTAGAAAACAATGTTTTCAAACTTATCTGGTAATGTATAATTCAATATCCATTAGTACAAGTTTAAACCATGAATTTCACATTTTTATGTTCTGAATAAACAAAGCCTCACCAACAAATAAGCATAAAAATACATAATTATTATCCCATTTCAAATAGGATAAAAGGATTCCATATCAAAATTGGTCTGGCATCTGTAATCCCACTGCACAAATACAATTTTAAAGTAACACAGAAGACAAAAAGCAGATTTTGCCAAACATCTTTGAAAAGTATGGTAATAAAGAGACTTTTTTTTAAGTGTCTCACTCCCTTCCCCTGGGTATAGGGGCATCATAGCTCACAGCAGCCTCAAACTCCTGGGCTCAAGAGATCCTCCTGGCTAGCCTCCAGAGTAGCTGGGACTACAGATGCCTGCCACCAAGGTTGGCTAATCACTTTGCATTTTGATGGGTCTTGCTCCTGCTTAGGCTGATACAGAGATTTTTAAGGAAGATCCAAAAATAATAAGAAATAAAATAATTGTTTCAATACTACCATAAGTATGGAATAAAGCAAACAAACTCCAATCACTGAGTACCAAGAAATGAATGGTAGCTTAAATATGCTCCTCTTGAGTTTTATCCTTTAACATTCTTTCTTAATTGGATCTCAAGTTTCTGAAACTGATACTGATTTAAAATTGATGTTGAAATTGATTAGTGGTGAACCCAGCACAGGAGGTATGAGCCAGACTCCAGCTCAGCCACCTTCCTAATGGTGTGACCGGAATCCCTTGTCTTTGTTCACCTGGGGCTTCCTCCTCTGCAAAGTGGGACTCGCAGGGTTGCCATGAGGCCAAAACGAAGGATGCTGGCAGAGCACACAGCACAGGGCTGCACACAGTTCAAGGTTTCCTGTAACTGCTGTAAGAAATTACCACAAACTCAGCAACTTAACACACTTCTATCATCATGCAGTTCTGGAGGTCAATCTCAAGTGGCTGGCAGGGCTGTGGTCCTGGAGGCTCTAGGGCAGGACTGATGTCCTTGTTTCTTCCAGCTTCCCTGGCTTTTGACCACAGATCTCCCAAACCTCTCTGCTCCATAGGGACACCCCTCACCTCACTTTCCTGCCTTTCTTTCTTTCTTTATGGGGACACCCTTGCAATGACATTGGACCCACCTAGATAATCCAAAATAATCTCCCATCTCAAGATCCTTAATCATGTCTAGGTGGTTAGAGGAATTAGAACATGGACATCTTTGAGAGGGACCGTTATTCTGCCTGCCACACCATGAACACCAGGCTGGCATGCTGGCACCCCACAGTGGTCACACTCCAGGGCACTGGCCAACTGCCAGCATCCTCCCCTCAGCATGGCTTTGCTCTTCTTGATTCCTGAGATCCCGTAAAGTGAGTTTTAAAATTGGTTGCATAGCAGAAAACCAATTTGGGGCAGGGGCAGTGCTACTGGGGCTAGTGAGAAAGGTGAAACAGAATGACAAAGCTGATAGTGTTTGACAGAAAGCAAAAGCTTTACATAAGTTCAGCTACAACTCTGGCATTGCACAGGGAAAATGACAGGCTATCTTGGAGCTTTCTCAGGTTCAGTTCCAGACCACTGCAATAAAGGGAGTCTCACAAAAAAGCAAGCCACACACATTTTGGTTTCCCAGTGCACATAAAAGTTATACCTGCACTATACTGTAGTCCATTAAGCATGCAATAGCATTGTCTAAAACAACAATGTACATACCTTAATTTTAAAACATCTTATTGCGGAAAAATGCTAACAATCATCTGAGCCTTCAGTGAGTCCCAATCATTTCACTGCTTAGGGTCCTGCCTCGATGTTGATGGCTGCTGACCAAGCAGGGCGGTGGTTATTGAAGGCTGGGGTGACTGTGGCAATTTCATAAAATAAAATAACAATGAAGTTTGCTGCACTGCCTGACTCTTTCTTTCATGAAAGTTTTTCCTGTACTGTGCAGTGCTGTTTCATGGCATTTTACTCACAATAGAACTACTTTCAAAATTGGACTCAATTGGGCGGCACCTGTGGCTCAAAGGAGTAGGGTGCCAGCCCCATATACCAGAGGTGGCG